CAGCCCGCGCGGCAGGGCCGCGGGAGGACGCCGCCCGTGGCCTCCCGCGCGAGGGCGGAGGCCGCGCGAGACCCGAGTGACTTATTACGTCAGTAATGATATATTCATTATTACATTAACTCCCTGCCGTTTAGCGTTTTCTATACATTTTGTTGTAAATTCTATACATTTAGCTGCGCAAATACAGATCCCGACTGCTCACAGTGGGGATGAGAGAGAGTCGTCTCTAATATGTTAGCTCGTCGTTACGAGGAAGCCTCATTACATAAAACGCCCTATGCCAACGCAGCGCACTCCTGGAAGTGGTTAGCGCGATCCAACCCTTGCCGCTTGAGCCGAACTGCAAAGTTGCTCGTCACCTCTACACCTGCTCCACCTCTGGCACCTGCTCCAGCTGCGAATCCTCCTGGGCGGCAGGTAGATTGAGACGTCGGCTTGCAAAAGAGCAGCCTCCGTGATCAGGGAGCGGAGCTCGGCCTCGCTCGCCGCGGCGACATCGAAGCCGGGGGAGAGAGGCGGCGGGGACGGAGGCGTAAACTGCGAGAAGGAGACGTCGTCCAGCGCCATGTCCGACCTCCAGCCCGGCCCCGTCCGGCCGTTGAAGCGCACCTTCGTCGTCGAGGCGGGTAGGATCACTACCGCTTCGAGCCAGCTATTGCCCTGGTCGCCGGTCCTGCCCCAGAGCGTCGACCAGCCCGTCTCGGTGCCGTTGGCCTCGATGGAGAGGGTGCCCATGTTGGAGCCGTACATGTGGTAGAAGAAGGAGAGGGTGGCGTCCTGCTGGAGCGAGAAGAGCGGGCTCTCGAGCTGGTGCAGCGTGTCGTAGATTCCAGATGCCTCGGTGAAGAGGTAGTAGCCCGAGCCGGTGGTGTGGTCGCCGCTCGGGCCTGTGCTAGACGATGGAGTGCCGCCGCTCCTGCGGGTCCAAGAGTACCCGTCCGGCGCGGTGTCGGTCCAGGCGCAAGTGTCGCCCTCGAAGTCGCAGCTTATCATGTCGGGT